CTCTTTCCCACTTGAAATCAGGACAGCCTGCTTCTTCATTACATTCTTGAGAAGGTTCTGTTCAGAGAACACTGACCTTCACTTTGAAACCCCCTGCACACACACCCTTTCTGAGATTTAATAGAACTTTTGTCTATAACAGAAAAGATTCAAACACACTAGAGTTTTCCTCTTCCCCTTTACTTGCAAACTTTGCTTAAGCTACCTGTTTATCCTCCTATTTTCTTCAGGGGTACTGTGATTTTGAAAGATGATTCAGAGATTCATGACTGAATTGACATACAGTTATTATACAAATAGCATGTAATGTGGATAAAAAATTTAATCTAACCCTGGAAGCTTTCATTCAATGGAACATGGTTCTTGAGGCAATTTATTATACTTTAAAGCTTTAGTCCTTTTTATTAGCAATTCCATGCACAAACTGGGGTAATTCAGCTTATTTATTTATATATCTGTGTGGTAAAATCAGATTACTTCTGGATATGTTAGTGTCTTACAGTCATCAGAACTGCATCTTTTATCCAGATTCCTTTAAAATATACCATGCATATGATTACTCCTAAGAAATAAAGTGATGCAAAGGCATTTTCACAAAGTGCCTACAGCAGTGCAAAACCTTGCCGTTCCTTGGCATCACCAACTTTTGTTCCACCAAAGATGTGTGGAAGCCTATTTCACCCTGGGGACCAAGACTTATAATGCTGCAATGCATTTTTAAAAATGAAATTGTGTTCATAGGAACAGTATGTGTTTAAATGTGGTAATACATTGTATATTTGTATACAAATCCTGCTTTGAGATAATGCCATATGATTCTTTGCCCTGCACAGTAACTAAATAACCATAAATGATCTTTCATGCATATGCAAATCTATCCCTCTAAGCACCTTATTAATTATTTCAAAGATACTTGGAGGTCACCACTCATGGAAATTTCTGTGCATGAAGCCTCATTAATACAAGACACCACACAGAGAGATGGGATAGATTTTTGTTGCCATTTAACAAGGGCAGAGAGAATATAATCTGTAATGTTTACTTTTTTATTTTAATGACCAATGAAATTCAACCAGTTCCTATCCACAAGTCCTTCCTCTGAGCTGATACAGTGGCTTTGAATCATGGGGCTGCTGCCACACTCCTCTGAACAGCTAATCCTATCAATGCACCAGTTACCCTGCTCAGAGCCCTGGTCCTCAATACTGGCTGTTCTCAGCTGGAGTAGTGCTGCCTGGTCCTAAGATTAGCAGCTAAGCACTGAGGAATTAATGTTGCTCTTCCAAAAATCACAGCAATGGCACATTTTGTTTGGGAACAAAGTGAAGCTATGGCATTATCGAGGTGATATATCATAGCTCATCAGCTAAGATGATAGTCTTCTTTTGAACACATATTATCTCTGGCTTAATTAGGCCCCATAACAGAAATCAAAGCAAAGCAAGGATATAACCATACAAAATACCTGACTGCAATGGAAAAAATCCATCTCCTGTCATATCTGTGCCAGGAAGCAAGAAATTAAACCTACTTGAAAAGCACTGTTTATCTGAAATCCCTAGATCCTTTCCAGCTCAAGTTATCATACACTTGTGATGATAACACTGATCTCGTCTGTCACAGTGACCCTTTGCTGTAGCAGCTGCTGTTTATTTTTATTCTGTTGTGTGTGCGGTGCTTTCACCTCTAGATTGATCCAATAAAAGATATAAAAAACTTGCTATGTTGGTACATTCCCTTGATAAAAATCAGGAACAGTGAGTCAAATGTTAATGGAAACTGCAGGCTATGTTCATTATGTTATCTCTATTTTTGAAAAACACTAGAATGAACAGAACTAGTTGGAAGTGCAAACAATTTAAATATGCTTAATTACAAAATCAAACCCTCCTGTACAGTTCTAGGGCAATGTGTGCACATGTCTTGAAGAAATGGTCTAGGGTTTAAGTAAATCCTTTCTTACATGAAAATTATAAAGTAGGTTTTACAAAGTCCAAACTTCAAGCCCTCATAAAGACTACTGCACTATTAGTCTGTGATGTTTAAAAACACACATATTAACGCAGACTGTTTGATCTGTCGGTGCAGCCGGGTCACCTGCCATAACACAAATCTCATCATAGTAAATATGACTTTGTTTTGTATTTCTTTTAGAAGCAGGCTCAAAACAAAATCTAACCTTACAAAAGAAGCTCAGATCTAACATCTTTTACTTCAAGTCATGCTCTGTTAGATATAACATGTATTAAACTAACATTGACAGAATAAGAAAGAAAAGTCTTTTCTTGGCATGTCCCATGGTATTCATTCCTGTCAAGGGGTATTAATTTTAGGCTTCACTGAGGTAATTAGAGAAAGTTCTGTCAAACAGTGCTTTATTATCCTCACATATAAATACAAACTGTAAACTGCAGTTGCAAAAATGAAGATCGTGAGCTTAGACTGTAAAAATGCAATCTTATGCTATTCAGTAGAAGTAACATGATAACTTGAAAAGAAAATCACGATACTGTTCTCAATGTTTCTTATTTGAATTCATTGATAATGAAATACATGAAGGAGGCTAAAAACCTTTATATCTGAACAGTAAGAAGGGGTTAGCAACTCAGGCATGCCTCTTGTTCACAGGTGTGATGAAACTCAGTCTCATCACTTTCTCAAAGGAGAAAAAATAGTCATTAGTTCCTAACTCAAGTATAAGTTCATATTAAAGACAACAAATTTACTTGTATACCAGTAAGTTAGGTTCAGGTAACTGCAGAAATTAACCAGTGAAGTTACAACAGCTCTGCTTAGATTCTTCATTCAGCAAAGCAGTTTGAAAGATAATGCTTCTAACCACATTTTTTTTTGATTCAGAACTGCTAATACTACAAAGAGAACTGACTGAAGTAGCAATCAGTGAGAGAGAGAAAATGTACTCCAATTGTATTATTATTATTACTCTGTTATTAGAACTACTGTAAGGTATAGTATTTTGAAAACAAATTTCTGATCTGAGGAGTTCTGAAACATTATCAACATTTTAGCATTTCCATATTTAGCTATTATAACACTTGGAGTACAACACAGATGAGGCTAGACTGGCAGTAATAGCTTCTTTTCCATTCCCTCGGCTGAACTCTATCTCACTTGAACATGAGAAGTACACTCATCCTCTGTGCATCCTTTACAACATCCACTCCTAAAGCCAAACCTATGTTTGCCTCATCACTAAAAGACTGAACATTCTAGCTCCATCTTCTTGCATACTCTCTTCATCCTATCCCTACTATGCTTCTACTGCTCAATTCCCTTGGTGTTCAATTTGAGCAAATAGGAGAGAGAAATACACTGGTTTGCCACTGCCAGTCAAGATTAAAAACACCTGCAAACTTCTTAGTTTCCTCTCTGAGAAATAAAAAGACTTCTGAATTGAGCAACTACAGTTGAAGACATATGGAAAAATCCTAACACAAGTTTTGTGCAGCATGACTAGCAATGGGTTTACAGACAGAAGAGGAGGAAGGGTCAATAGTTTGACACATCAGCCTGAACTGGAAGAAGCTCTGTGACACCAGCCATAGCAAGGAGGCCCACAAGACAGGAGAAAGATGAGCTGCCTGCTGCACCACTGGCATTACTGATTGACTCAAGGAGCTAACAGAACAGTGAAGAAAATGAATAAAACAGGGAGAAAAAGGATGGATTCAGCTTAAGTAGCTTATTAATTTGTGTGGGAACATGAAATGGATTAACTTCTCGAGAAGCAAGGAAGGAGGCTGAGAGTACATAGTGACCATACAGTACTACAGTAACGTCAAGATCACAGAAAGAGCACTGGGTATAAAGCTCCTAATCATTTTCTCATGACAAGTTTTCCTACACAACATTAAAAAGTGTTTTGTGAAGCATGACATCAGTGTGTAAACACAGTAGCAGAGTGCATTATTGGGGGGAAAGCAAAATGAGACCTGGTGAGATAGCACATAAACAGCAATTCTAGTGAAATGTGAATGAACATTGCTGGAGCAATTACAAATAAACAATTTTAAAGAGTTCTTACTACTGTACTTTCAGTATTCTCAAGGTAGATTTTCACATTAAATAACGGCCAGTCTTCCAAACAATTTTGTCAATTTTACTCCCATCTAGTGGTATTTGAAACATATTTGTCAGCCATTCAGGTAATTAGGGAAACCCACTTTCTAGGCAGTTTCTAATATGCTGGAAAATTATTCTCATATGATGATACAGCACTTGTGACCAACATATATGCACACATTCAAATGTAGCAACAGGAAAAAAGAATTCTATATACAGAACATATTTCTTCACAGCAAACTTTCTGACTGTTTTGCACTCCACATGCCAGTTGTAATTCTCAAAACACATCTTCCATATTCTGTTTAAACCTTTGTTTAGTTGAGCCGAACTTTGTTTCCTACTCAGGTAAAACACATAACCTACCCTCTTCTCAAAGTGATCAACATTTCGTTCACTGAGGTGACAATTAGTACTAATAATTTTATCAACAGAAAAGTTATTTAAAATTCCTATTGTGGTTCTTTTGTTTATTAATACTTGAAGACAAGCCAAGAAAATTAACAACTTAACTTGAAAGTGAAAATGTGGAGCACAAGGTGTTGGGATTTTTTTAACCAGAGTGTAATGCTATCATCTTCTTGCACTTCATAGTTATAAAACACCAACATGAAGAAAGTATACATTTGATTTTAAAAGAAACACCCTTTGAAATACAGTTAATTCTCCAGTTCACATGCTCAGCAAGAACCACTTCAATATTCAAATATTTTCTCCAAGAAGTGAAACAACTCCTATGAAAGCAGTATAATTCCACAGATACATGAATAGGTGATTAAAAAAATCTTGCCCTGGAATCAAACCCACATAATTTAAAAGAAAAAAATCATCTGAAACATACCTACACAAGGCAGGGAATAGCCAAGCTCTGTGTCATGGGTGAACTGACGATCATTCAGCATAGTCACACAGTACAAATGGAAACAGTCTAGGCAAATGACATGGCGATGCACACATTGGAACACGAGGACAGGACTCCTGTCAAAAAAACCAAAACAACAGTGAAAACAATGAACAATGACTGGACTGAACTCCACAAAAAGTTTCATTTCAAACTTCTAATTGAATAATAATTTTTCATTCATAGGGTTATTACATACATAAAATTAGAATGTTGCCTGGCATATTGCACCACTTTCAAAAAGCGATGATTTCTAACATGAATCAGATGTAAGGAAATGGAAGTTAAGATTTTACTGAAAGTTGAAACTTCACTGAAAACTGGAACCTAAAGCAAGAAAAGTGATTTTCTAACAGAAATCCTTTGTATGAGGTGAGGAAAGATCATATACGGTTAAACATCAAATGGTGATAGGTAGGATAAAACAGAAATGTGACCATCTAGAAAAGCTAAATAGGATTTTGAGAAGACCATCCTGTGCTTTCAGCCTCTCTTTACAGAGGGCACTCCTTCAGTAATAATGAGCAAAGTAATTCAGCTTCCAGAGAGAGGTACAAGACTCCATTTGAGAATGAGACACCTACATTTACTATATATAAATACAAACCTATATGCTAAGTGAGCAATTCCTGCTATATATACACTCCGCGGAGGCTGGAGCTGATCAGCCCCCAGGCACCTGCATTAGGGTGAAATGAATCACCAGTTTGGCTCCATTGTCTTTATGGACTAAATGGAACATTAAATGGAACATGACAGGAGTTCAGATGACCACCACACATTCAGACACCTACACAGAAATTACTAAATATGGGTACCCCAAGCTTGACAGAATACTGCTTGTGGAGGTACAGAGAAGAAACACCTGGAATAAGTGAGGACAGTTTTACTCCTGATCTGGTCTGCACTCAGAAACTCTCCAGTGGTGGTCACAGCAAGGAGAGGCAGTTGCTCCCAAAATCCTGCCCAGGACCAGTACGCTGGAGTTGAAAGAAAATTTTAGTAATGCAGGGAATATTACATATACATGAAATGTGCCTTCACCGCAGGAACACATTGATTAAACCTAATAGGTTTGTCCTAATATAAGTTAACTTACACCAAAACCTGACGGAGATATTTTAACTGTCAGTTCCAGTGTAATATGTGTTTTACAATCCTGCTTGTTTATTTCTTATCCTTCAGGACTATTAACAACTTCAAGCCTCAAAATTGGAAAAATAAAGAGAGAGATGTGTTAAGATGAACACAACAGTGAGATTCCCATTCAAATGCTGAATAACTTTACTCCTTTAACTTGCATCTGGCCAAACACAGGTAAAAAATTAACACAGTTAAATTATTTTAGTCACAAGGAAGAAAGATAATTATTTTTAAAAATAAAAGGAGGAATTCTCAAACATTCATGGTACTCTGGGAGACAGGTATCAAAACACAATATCAAATACAGCAAGACATGATAAAATCATCAGAGTTAGAAACGCTGCTATATATTCTATAAAACCTGCTAGATGATGTTATAAACACCCACTGAAACAGTAAAATGCCAAGCCCTCAATGTGGGAATACAACTTCCAAGTGTAATCAATAATTTCAGATACTGTATACAAGCATTTAATCTTCCACGAAAATATGTTTTAGCTTTGCACATACTATAGAATTCATGGCAGTGTGTTGGTATCTCAAAAAATATAATCTCTGTGTTTTAAGGATTTTGTTGAATAAAGCAGCTTAAAACCAGAATTAAATAAAACCTTGCCATTACTAATCCTTATTATTGCCCACTTGCTGTTCTGAATGTACTAAATAATAATTTTAAAAAGACAGCTGTAAGGCAAATGGGAAGCTGATCTGTATCAGTTTAGTCCTGGATGGTCCCAAATATAGAGAGGTGGAGGAACAGTTACCTTGTCCCTACAGTGCAAAAGTCCCCATGGCTCATCAGTCAAATGTAACCTTTAAAAAAACACCCCAAAGATTTTTTCTTGAAATGCAGCTGTAATCAAATTTGCCTATAGCTTTAATGGATATCTTACTTTTAGCATTAAGTGCTCTTTTTTATTGCTTCAGATCCGAGTGTCTTTTCTAGTTTCATGGGAAGCTCCCCAGTTCTAAATTCACACCTCTCTGACCTTCATTTCACAGACAAAATATATCTTATATGTGAGGTGAAATCCGTAAGAGAAAGCCATCAAAAGTAGAGTATCCTTAAAAATCCAGGCCAGAAATTAATATGGAATTATTAATATTTCCACCTAAACTTGTATGAAATGAAGCCTAAGAGCACTTCATTATGCAAATGAACAAGTACAATCAGTTTCTACCATAAACTATTTTGTGATAATTGATTTTACTTCTTAATATATTACAACTGTTTGAAATCAAAACTATATTCTCTAGAAGGTGCACAGACATACATGTACACATTCAAAATGCATCTTCTGGAACAATGCTAATCTTAAAACACGCTATCTTTTAACACTATCAAACTCCAAGTAATGTGTGCCAGATAAATATAAATCTGGGTTCTGACTGTGTCACAAAACACAAGCTAAGCTGTCACAGCTATTACACTGTCCACTAATTTTGCAGCCCATGGTATCTGTGTCGTAAATTTAAGGAACTCAATCTGTATGCAAAGCAGATTTATCCAAATTAATTTGGTGTTGGAATAGTCACTGTATAGTTGCAGATTTTGTATCAAAAGAATGCAATTCTAGTTTAAAAGAGGCATAAAAGTCTTGTTCCTGAGATCAGTAAAGATGAGGATGTAGCGATTTTTTTCGTAATGCCCACATGATGATAGTAAATACTCATTTTGGATAAGCCCAAGAGTTATTGATAGAAGTCTTGCTTGAACCAAACACAATTTATTTTAGAAAGGAGTATTACAGAAGTCAAAAAATTTGCCATATAGTGTAACAAGGGCCCTTGCTCAATCTGACACACCAGTTTAGTAAAGTAAATCTGATATATATTTTAGAAGGTATTTCATAGGTTCCATTTACATAATGTGTTTGGCTGAATTAGAGGCTTCATGAGAATAATATATAAGAAAAATGTTTCTCACAGCAAGGGATAAATTGGTCCTTTTTGTTCACCAATTAGGAATGTAACCACTTTTAAAAATTGAAAATCCAACATTATAATGCATCACAGGAAATTTCCACAGTAAGCCACTCGCTCCTGTGCTCTGATTCCTTTTCATTAGAATTTTATCAGCATGCATTGACTTAAATGAAAAAGAAAGGAGAACCTAAATGTTTCTGCTCTGTGTTACTACTGTTGGATAACTGTGTGGCACAACAGCAGGGATGGAAGTGCTTTCTGGTCTGTATGCTTTTTGCTCCTTCTCCCCAAAGCAGAAAGATGCAGATAATTCTCAGATAGTCTACCACAGTATACTGGCTAAACAAGGATACGAAGACTTGATCTTGTTTAGATAAGAAGCCCTGTGGGAAATAAATTGTTCTAGTATATCCTAAAATCTCATGACAGTTATTAATGTACTGAGAGTGAGTCCAATGGCTATGAATGAAAGGGGCTACTTAGCATAAGGAATAATTTACAGACTTAACAGTGGATCAGATGATACATCTTGCAATGCCTACTGAAAAAAATGTGGGACAATTTGTCCCTTACTTGGTTCTTACTCTTCTTATTGTGAACAAAGCTTGACTGAGTAAAGCTTAAACAGCACACCACATATATCAGACCATTATTTATATTACTAGCCACAGTCTGAAGCACTTTGGAGCGAGGAATAATCTAAGCCTGCAGAAATATGTGAAAAACATGTTGGACAAATCTGTGAAAACCCTTGAGGTCACTTCTAGGTGACAGTTGGATTTTTCTCACCTCAATCTCAAAATCTTAACCAAATAATAATAAAAAACCTTAGCAGATGTCTATAAGTCTGCCTTTCTGGGATTACAGTCAGTGAAGCAAAAATAGCCATGTGGGATTCATTTCTGCACAGTAAATAAATATGAATGCACACAGCTACATCACAGCCTTTAACCCTACCTATGAGTACTATATTTATCATAACACACTTCTGCATTTCTAGCACATTTTTTCACTTTGGCAGTCTTCCTCTACTTCAAAAAGCTTCCTGCATGAGTACCATGAAATAATTTAATTTATAAATGGATCTCTATGTCATTCCAAAATGAATCTTTGTTAAGTTACAGGTCAGCACCCTTCAAGAAAAGGTGAATCACTGAATAAAATGTGTAAGGGAAAAAAAAAAGGAAAATATATACTTTGGTGACACAGACACTACCAGGCACTCTTCTGCTTCATAAACAATCAAAGTAATTAAACAGAAATACTGTCCTTGAGCAGCACTCAACCCATTTTGGCTCTACCCTTGTAGCAGAATGAAATTACAATGTCTAAATAAACCAAATTATTCATCCATCACATGGCTTCCTCTTAGAACTGTATGTATGAAGAATATAATCTTCTAATTCATACAAAGATGGTGCCACATCTGCCTTTCCTGTCTAGCGCATGCATTCCATAATCTTATTCAAAACTACTGAAGGAATTGCCTATTTATGATGCTTTAACTGCATAGCTTTCTTACCATGAAAATACTCCCAAGTACTGCCAGACTGAACATGTGATTAAAATCCATTAGAAAGATGCTACTATTTATATAAAATATAAACAGAGAAAATAGAGAAAAATTACCACAGTGGTTTTTCATTTAGAATCTAGGCAGTTTGGAGGAAAGTATAGCAGCAAATTCTGCTTTCAATGAGAAATATGCTATTATGGATTAATAAAAACAGTGACCTACCAGCTGCAGGCAATCTGTAAGTAACAATGCAGGCCCCAAATATTTAGACAAGGGTAGGAATGTGAAATGGATATCAAGACTTTACATGAGAAAAGAAATTATATGTCTTTTCAGTCAAGAATCCATCTTTCATGGACTTTTTGGAACACACAAAAAGTTCATCCCTGCTTTCCCCTTCCTAAGGGATGAAAATAAATCTTTACATAGAACATGAAAATTAAAACCACTAGTATATATAAATACAGTATTATCAGAAAAGTGACAAAAGCA